TCAAGTTGCTCAGGTTTTTTAAAAGCAAACTGATTTATGATCCAATTTTCCATGAGCGATTCATTATATGTAATCATTCATGTTCCATGCTTTACGCCTCGATTTTCAAGCTCGTGATGACGGCTCCTTGATATAGTGATCGTTCTGTAACTTTACACATTTGCCTCTCTCGTGACAGTGTAAAGAAACTTGAAGACAGTCATTTCACTTTTAATTACTAGTCAAGTTGCGTGTTTATTCGTTCTGCTGCTGCTGAAAACGTCCCATTTTATATCGCTTAGTTTCAGCGTTTCTTTATGACTCGCAGATTCTCTGCTTGATTTTCAAACGTTTACCTGATATCCAGTCAACGGAAAATTCTGATTACTTTGCAGCATTCTACATCCTACCGATAGGAGGAGGTTTCAAATTCTCCGGAGAGGGTCGTTGTGTCGTTCGGTAAGTTGTGTCGTCCAGTGTGTCTTTCGGTAAGATCGTCAAGATACTAACATCTGATTGTAAGATTGTAAGATATCTGTAAGATATCTGAGACATTGTAAGATTGTAAGATATCTGAGAAGATCATTGATAGATCGGAAAACATCATTAAGCTCTCTTGAAGGTTTATCATATCGAAATTGTGACAATAGAGCAGAGGCCATCACAATGGATGGCTTCGTGAAAGTGGAATTCTTTCCGAAACGATTAATTGCACTCGCCGGATCGCTTTTACCTGGATTGGCATGTTACGCTTGCATTGCTTACACGTATGTGTTTCAATCCGAACGAGCACGTAACTTCAAGTCGACGGATTGTGAAAATGTTCCGAAGTGAGTTTCGCTTTGCAAACTTCTCTATTTTATTCGCCAAAAATTTTATTGTGAGCAATTATTCGACTGTCTTGAACAAATGTTAATAGTTTAGTTAATAGTTAGCCTTTGAAAGCGAAACCGTGGCACTCAACCTGAGCCTGTATGTGATCCTAACCGTATATTTAACCCAAACTTCGAGCCTAAAGCCTTAATTCAATGAGTTTTGAATTTCCCCCACCAACTGAAGATAGCAATAATGAACGCTAAGCTGAAATGTGAGCCGCCAGTGAATGCCTATGCCTCAGTCTCGGCCTCAGTTTCAATCTGAGCCAATTGTGCAAGATTTTCTAAGTCTCAGATTGAATTTGAATTATTCTATCAACGTATACAATTCATT